CCCCGTGCGCGCAGAGCCGGCCCGGGGTGACCCCGCCGTGGGGACACCGGGTGGCTCTTCCTGACCCTCCATCGAGCCCGCGTAGGGGAAAGGGGAACTGAGCACTCCCTGTCAAACAGGCCGGCCGGGGGGACCTGGCAGCGCTTGCTGCCTGTATGTTCCTGTATAAGAGGTACAGGACAAAATATTCCCCAGGGAGAGGGGACTCGGCGTGCCCACCTCTAGCACATACCTGAAAGAGGAGGCGCTGGGAATTCCCTTTCCAAGTCTCAAGGATGTGATGGGGAGGGAAGGGAGCGCGGCTCGGGGCATCCCACTCACCCGGCTGCACTGGTCAGGGAAGTGACATGGGCATCCCTGAGCATTCACTGGAGAAAGGGGCCACTGGACCACCCTCCCTTCCCTCCCCCCAGAAGAATGAGAGTACCCCCCACTCAGGGTGTTCTGGGCACTTCTGCCACGTCCAGCTGCAAAGGGGACTGAGCATCTTTCCCTCTCTCCTGTGCACTCACACCTGAGGGAGATGATCTGGGGCATTCACACCTGGCATGCAGAGAGAAATGGGGATCTGAGCACACAGACCTGGCAAACAGAGACATGGAAAAGGGAGGTCTGGGCATCTTCTCATTTCTTGGCAGGTGTGGAAGAAAGTGGGAGAGAAGGTGGCTGAGAACCTTTTTATTTAAGCTTCCCCTTTCCTAAGCAAAGGGTGAGTGTGAGTGGATATTTTTTTCGGCACTCCCCCTTTCCTTCCCTGCACAGCCTGCCTTCAGAAGGAGCAGGGTAGACACATCAGTTGTTTATCCACTGCCTCCCCGCCACACACACGCTTCTGATCCCTTATGTTTAGTGAAGAATGATGGAAAAAAAGGGCTGATACGTGGCTTCACCTCTGTGACCCTTGTCCTCTCCACTAGGGAACTGATGATACTGTGCTTTATATTTCCTTTCCCATCACCTGTCCACTGGCAGGGGTTATGAAATGGGATTTCTCCTCCCTTCTGTTGGAGGGGATGCAACAGGCACCTCACATACACAGTCCTTAATTCTTACTCTTCCAATAGAGGGGAATTTGCTTCACCCCCTCAAATTCAAAATGAAGTGGGGATACACCTCCTCTCCCACCCTTCCCCTTGTATTCGTGTGTCCTTTGCTAGAGGAGAAGGGCCTTGGGGAACAGAGATGAAAGAGGAGCAGACACTTCCAGCTCTCTGCCCCTTTCTTTGGTGAGAATGTCTCCCAGGGTCTCACTGGACAAGTGAGCACCTGCTTTCCTGGTGCTGTCAAGCTGTGCCACTGCTCACCACCTGTCCCTGAAGGCTGACTTGCTTTACAACTGCATTCCTTCAAGGACAAGGGAGATGTTATAGAGTAGAGTGAGCTGCAGTGTAGCCAAGTGTGTCCTGGCATGGGCTTGGGAGAGGGGCAAGCAGGTTTCTCTCATCTCCTCTGCATATTTTTGAGACTCAGTTGGGAGTCACAGAGGAACAGCAGAAGTGTTTCAGAGATGAAAACCAGGGCTTTTAGTTCTTTTTTTTTCTTATTTATCAGCATCTTTACAGGAGGGAGATCCAGAAATGTGTGGTACATTTCACTTGGCTGACAATTTGTCTTTCAAATCCTTGCCCCTGCAGACAGACACTGAGCTTGAGGAGCAAGCAGAGGGTTTAGTCCACATGTGTTTTGAGTTAGGGGAGCCTGGGCACAGCTCCTTGAGCAGAAAGTGGAGGTGGTTTTCTCCCTGTCACCACCCTGAAGCCCCTGCTGTTGGCACTCCATGCATTTGCCATGTGGTTACTGGGAAGAGAAGATGTGGATCATCCAAGGGATGAGGAAACTGCTTCCATCCTTGTAGCTGTGAGGTAGAGAGAGAGGGGAAGGAGCGAGCAGAGCTGTAAGGTGAGGCAGGATTGCTCCTGGTAATGGGAGCAAGAGGCTGCGCTCGTCAGCAGCTTAAAGGTTTAATTTCTTGACACTGTGCCTTGTCCATTTTGGAAGCTGATTCAGTCTCGTTAAGCTTGAGGAGCAGATGTTTCAGATGACAGCATACACTGTGCAGAGACGGTTCCTGGTGCTTGGAAGGAGGGATTCCCAGAGGTTAGCACCAGAGGCAGGGGAGAAATAAACTCCTGGTCCTGAGGGGACTAATGACGGGGATGATTTCTAGTCCTCAGAAAGCTGATTAAGGGAAGTGCTCAAGTCTTTTCTTATTAGCAGGTCCACTCCTTTGCAAGACTGAGATCATCTTTTGGTATTTCAAGGCTCTTTCAGTGACTTCTGGTTTAACTTATCTTTCACCTGCATGTTTCTTTGCCTCTGTTTCCTGTGTACATGGGTGCTCTTGCCTTTCTTCCTTTCTTCCCTCCCGACTGCTGCATCCAGATCTGAGAGAACAGCAAGGCCACATCACAGAGATTCAGTCTCATCTGTGCATTTGAAGGCCTTGGTTTAGCTGTTATTCCCAAATTATTCCCATCTGATGGTGTGTTGATAATTCTGGATCCAAAGGGGAGCTGCTAAATTGGTCTGCCTTAGTCTGGGAGGAGGCTGGTGGTGACAAACCAGCTCTTACACCAGCCCATGAGTAAGGCAGGAGAATCCTCCTCTCTGACCATAGGAGCATGAAGTATAACAAGCACAACTGACTTAAAATATGCTGAGGTGCAGGTTCAAGAGTACAGAAACTGCTGGCTGTTTTTGCTGATTCATGGTTCAGTTCAGAGCAAAGGTCAAAGGCTTTTATCTTTGTTATTTTGCCCTTTTTCCTGTATGTGCTGTACTCCAGGGGAGGCTGCTATCACACAGCTACAACACTGAGCAGTTGGTTCCTCAGCTGACAGTTCCTCAGCTTTTGGAACATCTCAATGCCAGGAAAATGTTGATTATAGCTGGGCATGTGCTGAAATATTTTTTCACTCCACATCTTTAAGCTCACCACAGGATTCGTTGGAAACATCAGGAATATCAGCCTGAGTTACAATTTGAGCAGATTAATTACTGAGAATTTAATCCTTACCTTGTGACCTCTGGGATTTATTTAATTAGTGTTGTAGAACCAGCAAAAATGGTGCAAGAGGATGAAAATTACTAGTGTAGGTTTTCAGATAAGTGAGTAACTTGCAGCTGGGTTGCTTCTTGTTTTCTGTGGGCGTAACAACGAGTGATATTTTATTACAATGGTCTTCTGTTTAAATCACCTTAAATTAGCCAGCCCTTTTCTGCCCTCCCAGTTCTAGAGGGCTGCTTTACAACAATCTTTCTGTAGAGTTGCTCAGTCTAGTTTTCAAAGTCCTGGGTGAGTCTGTTAAATCCACAGCCTGTGGACTTCTGGGTGACTTCCCTGTTCCTTGGCTTGTGAGTTTGTGCCATACAGCTGTTGTCCTGTCTGGTATTTGCTTTTTCCTTGCTTTTTTTCCATGGTTACGTTCTCAAGTTGTCTGTATTTAGTTCTTGTGGTGTTTTCTTGGAAAGCAGTCACTCTCTAGGTAGTTTTCTTCATCCCAGAATGTTTCAAGGCTGAGTTGGATGGAGCTTGGAGAAACCTGGTGTAGTGAAAAGTGTCCCTTCCCATGACAGGGGGGTGGAACTGGATGATCTTTAAGGTCCTTTTTCTAATCCAAACCATCCTGTGTTTCTGTGATTCACCAGTATGAATTCTGACTATGTGTTGGGAACACTCATCACCTTGGCTGATGTCTGTCGTGAAACAGTAGATTTTAAAGTTGGACTTCTGTAAAATCTGTGGTGATAGGTGGAGAGAAACAACAGCAACTTTATGTATTTCTAAAGCCATTTGAGGAGCCTGTGGAGCTTTGTCTTTTAGGGAAGGACAAATAACTTTACTCCCAGACACAG